TACTTTGGGTGGAAATCATGGCTGGGGGCCGGGGAAGTTGTAGGGTTGGAGCTGTTGATAATGATGCGTGAGGCTCGAAACAGGAAGTCATCGAGCAACTGCTGGATGAGAGATGGACCTGCACAAAAAGTTACAAACAGTTACATAACCGCTGTGTCCTAAATAAAATAGAATATACATTGGATAGGTGTGGATATGCATGTATACTCAATGTTTGCTCACCAAGATGTTCTTTCTCATTGCCACAGAGAGACAACAAGGTCTTGATAAGTCTGAGGTGCCCTGCTAGGAGGATGTTATCTGCCTCGCTGGTCTCCATCTCAGAGCTCCAGCTAGGCTCAAAATTGTCAAGCCAAGAGATCTCGTCCTCCAGCATGGTGGCTGCGCTCACTTTTAACACCTCCATCTCTGACGCTTGAGGAGGTGAGGCATGCAGCGAAGCGGGAGGAAGGAAAGGAGGGATAGAAAAAGAAAGGAGCAGAAAGCAAATGTGTGATTCACTGGCCTTTAGTTGGTGAAAAAGCAGTCTGTAATGTCTGCTTTACAACAGAGCCTCAATCAGGGACAAAACTTCATATTTAGGAATGTGTAACTGTGGCTTACTAGTTAGGTCGTCCAAAAGCTGGCATCTTAGATCAAAGTATTCAGTGCACTGGGACAGCAATCTGAAAACAAAAACCAACACTAACTCATGATGTCTGCATATGTTTTAGGGATTTTGCACCTTGTGCTTTATTGATTAGATACCTTTGGTTGACCCCTCTCATTACAGATGTGGGGCTCCATAATGGGAGCTGAGCAGTCAGGATAACTGAAAGGAGGAACAAGTTAGGTTTTTGGACTTCAGGGAAGGCTGATGTGTCAGTTTGGCTCAAAGTGTACAGTTGATCACAAGCCACACGGCGGATCTGAGAGAAGAAGAAACATAGAAAAGATAAGTAAATATAATATAATATAATATAATGTTTGAAATACATTTCTTCTGTTGTTTGCTGAGTGTGTTATTTACCTCTCCGCTGGGAGATCCGAGCAGAATATCAATAATAAAATCATTGACAGAAGGCAGGTTGTAAAAAGAAGCTGGAGAAAGAAACCAAAAACAAGATTTAGAGCCTGTTGGACACAGTACAGAATATCTCATTGCAATACACAGTAAAAGTGAGACTGTGATCTTGTGGTGTTGTCTGTACGCCTGCAGGAGTCTTACACAGCTGCTGACAGCGTAACTGCAAACAGGTAACCAGCAGAGACAAAGCCTCGCGGGCGATGATGGCATCTTTGATGGAGACACTCTGCTGTCTGACACATATCCCTGCATGCAATGCTGTTGGTGTGGTCTCGCCCTCGCTACTGGAGCTGCAGTTACTCCCTGCAAAACACAAATACATTTACTTTCAATTCTTTAGGTTTAGTTTCAGTAAAATATTTTGAGCGTGACCTATTAATAACCAATAGTCAGCATTAGTCATAAATTAAGAATGAAGTTGTACAAGCCACATCCACTGACTGAAAAACATGTAGCTAACACCACAAGTTATCTACTTGGTAGACTTACAGAGACAAACAGACAAAATGTGTAATGATTGTTTTTTCTTTGTCTCACCAGTGCTGCTGACTCTAGTGCGTACTCCCTGGGGCAGAAGAGAGCCATGCGTCTCTCTGATTGGCTGTGGGCTACCAACCAGATCTAATCGACCTGCTGCAGCCGCCCAGGTCAGACGCATAAAACAGGCCACTGTGGAAGTGAAGTCCCCCACTTCCATGGTCTATAAAAGAAACAGCAGCAGATAGAGCATCTGGAATACTTTACATTTACTGGATACCAAATTTACCCAAGAAATAACTTCAAAATTGAAATTATTTCTACCATACCTGAATAGCGACACGTGCAGCAGGTATGATTTCTTCAACTCTTATGGATGATCGCTCAGACAAAGACATCTGTCTGTAGGAGGACTTCTCTGGAGTGCCACATAGAGAGAGCTGTCGCCCTGCTCGCCCAGCATTACGGAACGGCCGAGATGATAGCGCATCGCCATCCCTGATGACATCATCGTCCAGTACAGCAGGCATGCTTTGACCAACCAGAAGGAACCTGCAAACAAAGCCCATTCAGTTAGAAGTTTGGCAAAGTATGTGATGATTATATAAACCTTGTATGTTTGTCACATGTATTGCACCTGGCCAACTGAAGACAGATTGAGTAGACCCCTTGTCTGGTCTCATAGTCCACTTCTGATGGGATGGAGTCTCTCTGCATAACATTTACCACCAGACTGCAGAGGTGACAAACAGAAACACAATACTGAAGACTAAAAATAAAAAGATGCCATGAGGCATTTTGGATAGAAGCATATGCCATGTGGAATATATGTACTGGTGTATAATGTTGCTTGACAACTATGCTGACACCTCCTACAGTGGCTCAAAGCAAACAAAGAACAGCATTTGTTTTAAAGGTCTGTTGTTTGTGGTGCTACCTGAGGCCTCCTGCTTTCAGGAAATTCTCACAGAAGGATTTGCTGCTGGTTTTGGCCATCTCATCATCAGATGTGGGCATGAGTTTTGAACTCAACACCTAACAAAGACATAGGAGAGAAAAAGGAAAAGAGATGCAGCTTAATCAACTTTAAAGCAGGGAATTTTGCATTTATATACGTATTTGGGGTTTTACGTTTAAATGTACCTCAAGGTTGTAGAGCACTCTGAATGTGGACATGCCAGGGGCTGAAGATCTAAAAAGAGACTCCAAGATGGAAGCAGCACTGGGCTGATGTTGCTGCTTGGAGGACATAGAAGGAGAACGAGAGCCTGTACCCTGGCCGAGGGTGAAGAGTGTTTTCTAGAGAAAAGATACACAAAAGATAGAAAATAACTCCCTCAGACAACGGATAAGGCAAAGAAATGCACACAAGAGAAATTTGTCTACACTTATAATAAACCCTCCTCCAAAAGCAGAAAATTAAAAATTTCAGAGGTTTATCGTTCTGCATTAAGCACTGTTAATAAGAAAAGAGTTCAAGTAACCTGATGGCTCCAGACGCTGGATTCTTTGGGAACAAAGTTGTCAAGTGCATCCTGTACTTCAGGATCTGTTGGAATCAGCAGCAGCAACTTCCTCACACGCAGAGTGATCCTGGAAAGTACAAGAAATATCCAAATACATAAAAAGGGTTATTAACTGCCTTTGGTCTTAATACATGAATTATGAAATAGTAGTGACTTAAATATTAATTACCAATCACTTTTTACCCAGCTAAACATGCATGCAAGAGTCTCTGTCTATGTTTTTATGCATTTTTGTATCTACACAAATTGCTTCAAAATGAGGTGATGTGTATATCTAAATAGCATCTTCCGTTGTCATATGGAAGAAATACTACCTTACCTGGACTCATCAAGGTTTGCTAGCTGGTAAAGCATCTCAAACACATTACAGACCAAAGCCATCACAACTCCAGGCAGAGACTTCTCCTAGAGACACAGAAATGTACGCACTTTGCATTAGAACCAGCGGAAAGTTTAATGGATGCACGATTTGCAGTTCTAACCATGTCTATGATGGTACCTGCTCTAGGGCATAAGCAGAGTTGAAGACAGCAGAGCTGGAACTGCTGGAGGCAGAGGCTGAGGACTCGGAGCTGCCAGAGGGAGTGCCAGTGCCTGAGCTCTTCACAGTGAGGCTCTGCTCATCGCTAAAGCCAAGCTGAGACAGCAGCTTATGGTCTCGATTCATGGTCAACTAATACACGTTGGAGGTGCAGCAAAAGAACAATGTGAGAGAAAAAAAACCAAAAAACAAAATTAATTTTGTTCAAGGACACACAACAGGATAGTGGACGACCTTCCCCAGACAGGCACTGCACTGAATCATCAACACTTACCACACTATCATTGGCAAAGATTTGGACATTATCCACCGGACAGCTCAAGTGCTCAGATATCTTCCACCGGATACTTCCTACTGTTTCATTACTGTGAGTCTGTACAACAGACAGACGAGTAAAATTAGCCATTTCCTCTAAAGACCTGAACTGTGCACAAAAGGGCAGAAGTTTATAATACCTCTAAGGTAAAAGTGTCTTTGGTTGACTCGTAGGTGATGTGAAGAGTGACAGGGTGTCCATTGAAAGAGGCCCCGTGAGGTAGAATAGTGCGAGGAACTGAGTACATATCCTACACAGAAATACACAAAAACATGAGGTTACAAAAACCCATTATAGCATAATCATTTTTATTTACACGTGTAATGAAACCTTGGAGATAGAGTGCACAGCTTACCTCTATAGTGATGACATAGCGCTCAGCCAAAAGCAGCAGTCTTTCAATTATCACCAGCTTAGTGGATCTGGAGGTGGAAATTCACAGAAGCGTCTCAACAATAACAAGCCTATTTATACTCAAAACATTTTATCCATCACTAACATGCAAGATAAATTATATAAACACAAATGTATTTTAATAGGTTTAGTAACTATGTTCTTACCCAAACCCCCCTCTGTACCTGGATGGTGATTGTACAGATGTGGCCACAGTCGGCATGGCCGTGGCTGTCAGCATCTTGGTTGCTTTAGTAACAGCATGTGTCAAAGTAGGCCCACCCAGGGCCGAACTGGCTGCCTAAAAGAAGAACAAGAAATGTGCTGCTGGATCTGTGAAATGGCACAATCATGCTAGTAACATATTCAACAGCTTACCTCTAGTCGTTTGTAGCAATCAGCAATGAACTTCTTGTGCAAAGACACAGAATCCTGTGAGGAGGAAGATTTATTTCTGCATGTGATTTCTTTGTTTCAAAAAGAGCCACAAAGCAGTAATTCAATTTTTATTATTGGAATACTTCTGATCATTTCTCATCAAAGTGAGGAGTGAAAACAATAGGCAGTCTGCAGCATCTTAAAAGGAGAATTCTTCCCAGGATAAAATATGCATATTCCCTCTGGTCCGTGTAACTTATCCACCTAAATTGTTCTGCTTTGAGTTTCCCAGTTTTGGATAGAGAGAACAGAGATGACTAGAATATAAAGGAACCAGAGAGCACATCCTTTTGGGGATTCAAAGTAATAGGTTCATTAGAAAGGAACCAATTCCTACACCAAACTGCTCACAATAAAGATAATGACTTTTTTTGGGATCATATAAAGAGATTGCTGCTGATTTTAATGTGAACTGTTCTGTTAAATGACACTTCCACTCTCTTTAGAAGCAGTGCTAAAATTAAGAGGCCAGAGCAATAAATGCAAAAATATACTCAAACCTTTTTCATCTTGGGATTGAGGTTGGTGTAGCTATATGTGATAATAAGTTGGATTGCTTCATTGGCTATTTCTTCATCAGGGGTCTCCATGGCGATGCGCCAGATAAAGTCCATCCCTGCCAGGTCAATGCGCTCCACACACTGAAATCAAAGCACATAATACTTTACATCTAAATGTCAACCAAGATGTATTTCAGTGTTCTTTTCCTTTGCACGCTGAATGGTTCACTGTGTACTAAGGATCAAAAGAGAGAAAATGAAAGCTGACCAGCTGAGTTCCTTGGCGTTTTAGTCGATGATCACAAAGGTTAACATTCTCAAAGAAGGTCTTAAAAAGATTAAAACCTGAAACACATACAAAACATGTTAAATACATATTTATAATCCACTGCTGTGGGTCAATAATGTATCACCATAGAGCATCTCTCACCATTCATGGTGATTTCATAGGGTTCCAGTTTTAAGATCTTCTCCTTGAAGAGTTGCTGCTGAACATCACTCTCAAGGTCATGTTGCCCTTTTGTGAACCACTCAAAACACATCTGCACACACAGAAACACACTGT